TAAAAAAAAAAAACGCCTTTTTACCTAAACCTATGTTAATATATTTCTATCTAAGCAACATTTTTCTATATTTGATTTGATCTCAACTCGATAATTTCAAAAAAAAAAATGGAATTATATTCCCTAAAATATTTACCTATACATATTGAATTTAGATATGCTTTAAAGAATGTTAGTTTTTTTCAATCCCTTAAAAGTAAATTTACGCATTTGCCCCAAAGACAACAATCGCAAAATTATTATACGACACAAATTTATACGAATTAATTACTAAGTCCTTAACAACTAAACACGTAAAACTTTTTTTCAAAACAAAAACGCCCTGTAAGTGTATTTGTTTTTTTTTTTTTTGCGTGTTTTGCTACAGTCGGTTCATTGAAATGAGCCCGATGAGCTGATGGTTTTAAAAAAAATCGACTAATATTGTCACAATCCTTATACATTGCACAATAGCAGCATGACCTGGAGGCGTATAGGTATAGGTACAATAAGATATGTATTGAATATATATTAGAATAATAATATCCTAGAAATAATACTATGATGTTTCTTCTACGGAGGGACGTACCTACTACTTTGACCACTCTGTATTATGTAAGTTATATTAACCAATCAAATATCTATTTTTTATATGCTATAATGTGCTTACCCCTTTCCTTTATGACTATTTAAATACATTGTTGTGAAGTAAACATCAAATTGTTATATCGGCGTTAAAATTCTTATTTAAGCCAGCGCAGTCCCATAAGAAACGTTCATATGTTTTCAAGCTTTTGCTATAGCAATTTGATACACATATTTTCTTCTGTCACCTCTGTATTTTGATCAACAATTTTCGAAACCCACACCTATGTCCGGAGTTTCAGTGCAACCACGAGCACAAAATCAACATCAAATACAGACCCAATAACTATTTCAAACCTGATCCAAATTCAGGACCATCAAGAAATACAATCGAAGAGATTAATAATATCTTTGAAATAGAATTACCTGATCCTGACGAAAATTTTGAAACTGAAGAATGTTCCGAAAATCAAAACTATTATGAAGAGACAAATTTTGAAGAAAATCAAGTCGAAACTGAAATTTTCAGTTACAAACCTTGGATGCAATGAGTCAGCATTAACTTTAAATGCTTATCAAATCAATCAACTGTCTTTTATTCAAATAGACTATCCACCGTGTAAATTATTAATTGACACAGGAAGTCATGCCTCCTTAATAAAGACCCTAAATCGCAGAAGAATATTTTTCAAATTCTATAATTAATTCACGAAACAAGTTAAATACTTGTATGGGTACAAGAAAAACCCAAGGACAAATCAATGTCCCAATTTCACAAGAGTATAATATTCAAAATAACATTGAAATGATAATGTACAATTTCCATGACATCAAAATGGAATTATTGGAATCAAAGCATTACAAACAAATAATTAAATATAGATTTTTCCAATATATTTCTTTCTAATAATAAAACAACAATTCCGTTTCAATATAGAACAGATTTCGAAAATCAAAATTTTGAGATTCCAAGCAACTCAATTCAAGTATGTTATTTCAATACAAATATAGCTGATGGCATTGAAATTCTTACACCACCGATAAAAAATGAAACATATTATATTCCTTCGACAATAGCAACAGTCATTAATAAAATGGTTTGAAGTACAGAACTTAATGAATAAGCCTACATTATTGTCCCGTATAACATAAATAACTTAGCGGAAATAAGTTTACCTTATGCTGATGAACAGTTTGAGATATTCAATTGTAGAACAAATGATGAATATGCAAATGACCCTATAAAGTCGCTACGTATTAATCATTTAAACTCAGAAAAATTTGATGTTTTAAAACACGCAATTGAAGCTATTCCCAAAATTTTCCACAAGCCAAACGAAAAATTGACATTTACCAATCAAGTTAAACATGAAAATAAAACAACAGACGAAATACCAGTGCACACGAAAACCTATAGATATCTCCATGTGCATAAACCAGAAGTAAATTCTCAAAAAAAGATAACATAATCAGATGATCTTGTAGTCCCTTATCATCCCCAGTGTGGATAGTACCTAAGAAAGAAGATGCCGCAGGCATACTAAAATGGAGAATGGTCGTTGATTATCGAATTATAGACTGGGCCCCGTGATTAAAATAACTCTAGCCCTTCGGACTGGCGTATAACTCCGGCCCTTTGGACTCGCATATAATTCCGGCCCTTCAGGCCTGAATTTTCAATTTTTTGAGGGAGGCTTAGCCTCCCCTGCCTCCTCTGACGAGCCGCCACTGTCTCTGGCTTCCACCAAGTTGAGATACATGGAAATTCGATACCCAAAACAGCATTTAATGTTGAAAATGGTCGTTACGAATTTAACAGAATGCCCTTTGGATTAAAGAATGCACCAGCAACATTTTAACAGAATGCCCTTTGGATTAAAGAATGCACCAGCAAAATTCCAAAGAATAATGGATAATGTATAACTGGGATTACAAAATAGAATATGTCTAGGATAATATAATAATTTTTTCCACTTCACTTCAAATCAGAATTCCTACACAAAAAAGTTAGCCTTCCCAACTTTTTTCCGGTATATCGGAAAGAACTGAAATTCGGAATATCGCCTAAAAATTACATTTTGAATATTTAAGATTTTTGATTGACTCCAAATTATCCACTGACCAATAGAATTATAGACTGAGCCCCGTGATTAAAATAACTCTAGCCTTTCGGGCTCGCGTATAACTCCGGCCCTTCGGGCTCGCGTATAACTCCGGCCCTTCGGGCTCGCGTATAACTCCGGCCCTTCGGGCTCGCGTATAACTCCGGCTCTTCGGGCCGGAATTTTCAATTTTTTAGGGGAGGCTTAGCCTCCCCTGCCTCTTCTAACGAGCCGCCGCAGTCTATAGCTTCCACCAAGTTGGGATACATGGAAATTCGATACCCAAAACAGCATTTAATGTTGAAAATGGTCGTTACGAATTTAACAGAATACCCTTTGGATTAAAGAACGCACCAGCAACATTCCAAAGAATAATGGATAATGTATAACTGGGACTACAGAATAGAATATGTCTAGTATACATGGATAATATAATAATTTTTTCCACTTCACTTCAAATCAGAATTCCTATACAAAACAGTCGAATTCTTAGGACACGTAATTACACCAAATGTAATGAATGTATATCATGAGACTAAAACTTCTCATAAAGGAATCACTAAAAATGTTGCAGCCTCAAAGAAAAGATTCTATTGGCCCAATATCGAGAAAAACGTACAGAATTATGTCAAAGTATACGAGATATGCAATAAAATCAAATATGAACGACAACCATACAAAATCATATTTAAACCAACACCCATTGATACAAAACCCTTTGAACATATTTATATTGATACGTATATAATCAATAACCAAAAATTTCTGACCATTATTGATAGCTTTTCAAAATTTGGTCAAGCATCTCCTGTAAATACGAAAACAGCTGTAGAGATATCATCACAGTTATTGAAATATTTTAGTGATCATGCAATACCTCAAAAAATCACATCAGATAATGGAGCATAGTTCAAAAATGCTATAATGACCGATTTTTGTACATTATACAAAATTGAGTTTCATTACACAACTCCAAGAAATCCGAACTCGAACAGTTCAATTGAAAGATTCCATTCGACACTACGTGAAAGTATAACGAATTTAAAACTCCAAAACTCGAATAAGAGTATCACTGATCTAATGACAATCGCTATATTGAATTATAAGAACAGTGCTCATAGTACAATCACAGCCCAAAAATGACTCTACGAAACCCTAGATGCTGAAGACGGCGCAAAATATGATTCTTATATCCAGACGCTCAATGATAATCAAAAGACTCTCAATGAATATTTGTAAACACAAGCTCAAGTATTGACACAAGTTACAAAAATATTTCACGTTCAATTTGTACCTATTGAATCTAACCAAAAGGTTATCACAAAAAAATTACAAAATATTTCCTTGGAAACCCAAAATTTCCATTCAATGTTTACCTTCAATCTAATATTGAACAATATCAATATCCAAAGTAGACTTAGCTAGAGGGGCATTTCCCAATTGAGGCACTTTGCACTAGCCTTAGTCTCCTCACAGTGCAAACTACCTTTATTGGGAAACGTCCTTCTGGGATTATTGAACGCAACAAACTAGATTCAGTGCAAACTACCTTTATTAGGAAACGTCCATCTGGAGCTGTCTCAAACCCAGCTTCAATCTTCAGCCACGTCAAGTGTATAGAATGTACATAATACTGAGTGGTCCCTCCATAGAAGAGACGTCATGGTATTATTCCTAGGATATTATTCTATATATTCAATACATACCTTATAGTACCTATACCAAGCGAGTTTCTCTCTACCTGAACCCCACCTACGCCCCCAGGTCACACTCCTAGGGGTTCTGACAATATATTAGTCGATTTTTCTTAACCATTTTAATTAAATCACAGGTTTGAACATCATTTTGGAGCTAGACTAGTTTAACAATACCCTCTCTAAACATCCAAAGTTTTAAATAAATATTGTTATTCTACTACTGACCCAATGATGTTTAGAGAAAACATTGTTTAGCTCAACTACGATTTTTTTTTATACCCTAAACATTTGTCCTACACTTATACCTTGTTTTTACTATTAATAGAAGACAAAAACTATACAAGGCCCGTGCAAAAAAACTTACAGATGCAATCCAATTCCCTAAAAGCCTAAAATCCCATCAGAAAAATATAATTTACTCCATTTCCGTTTTTGCATCAAATAATTTTTTTGCACGCACCCAGTATAATACCCTAAATTTAAATGTTTTCTATATGTACACTCTAAATTTTTTTTGCGGTAACTGGCAGTGAAGGCGATCCTCATTTTGACCGCCCATTTACCCAGCAATTTTTTTTGATTGGGAAATTGTTTGTTAAAAGGTCGCCTTTATTTGTTTCCTTTGGCATTAAATTGGTCACCCGGACGCGTGACGTTTCATGTGCAAGGCCAAATGGTCGGACCGGCTAAAGCACCGTTCGCAGTGGCGACATTTGAACGGTTTGGCGCCGGTGTGTTTGCGATAGTGTCTTGTAAGTTCGTCGCTGCGTGCGAAGCGCCATTCGCAACCCTCCCACGAGCACTTGTACGGTTTTTCGCCTGAAACAATAAAAAAAGTTTTTAGTTGAAAACAATTATAATTCCGTCTAATTGGGTTTTTATATTGACGGAAAGTTGAAAGAGCGACCGAACGTTTTTCGATGGAACGAATTTAATTTTAAATTGACGTCCGTCGTCGGATATCTGGCGATGACATTTTTGTTAATTTGGAAAATGTAACTTCTAGGCATTCTTCGGACGCCTTTTTAGGTGTAGGAGAGCGCGTTTCTCCGAAGGTGTCTCGGAAGTTTTAATTGAAAGTTTTCTTCGACTTTGCCCGGCACAAAATTGGCTTGTTATTTCTCGCTGAGGTTTTTTTTTTTCATCAGTAGCCAGTTTCGATGCAAATTAAAATTAAAACGGAAATTTTATAATTTGGTATTTAATCAGAGGGTACACATAAATAGAATAAATTCAAGAAAAATTGGTATGTAAGAGGACATTCCAGGACATTCATGATTTAACTTGTGTACCGAAAATTGAAAATTTCCAACTTTCCAACAATTGACCGCTTGGGTAGCTGCATTAGTAGTTTATGGGCATCTTTTCCATATCCGGTCTTGTGTTTGGCTAAATATAATCTACTCGCAATACCTGCGACACCGCCACTGAACGCCCCCAAAGCACTTAGACCAGCAAAGAGAGGAATCAGTTGAATAGCTGATACAGTTTCAAACAGATCTGTATACAGATATAGAGGTCTAGAGAAGGGTGCGTATACAGATAAAGAGGTCTAGAGAAGAGTATGCAGACAGCTATACAGGTCCAGAAACAGGTCTGATATAGCTGACTAAAATCTGTGTTTTTTTTTTTTAAAGATAATTCCCAAAGTCAAAAATTTAGTAACTATGTTGGCAACACAAGCCTTTTCTACATAAAAAATTTGAAAGCATTGACTTTTACATTGTATTACCAACATAATGTCATTTTGACTTTATATTGAAAAAAAAAACAGACTTTAAATAAAATTATTGTTTGTTGGATTTTGAGTGGTTTCATTTGCACATAAAGGAACTACACGTTATCTTAATTTTTTGAATTCCACGACCCTAGGTTATCTTATCTTAAAGTAACAAATCTTAATTAATTTATAACAACGTATCGTTGTGATATCCTGATGTGGCCGCTTGAGTAGCATCATTGGTAGGTTTTGGGCATTTTTTTCAAATAGAGTCCATATATCCAAGGCTTCCATCGTTTCGTTGTGTCGTTTAGACTGGGCGAGTTTATCTTTGGCAGAACGGATATCGTTTACAGCTTTTGCAATACCTGCAACACCACCACTGAGTGCTCCCAAAGCACTAAGCCCAGCAAATAGAGGAATCACTTGAATAATTTCTTCTAATTTCAGTACTGGGATAACTCGAGGAACTTTATTCAGAGGCATTCTACACATGCGCATGTTATAAAAAGCGTTTTCGTTTATTTCAGAATCGTAATCGTACTGTCTTGACAGCGTTTTGGATTATTTGGTTATAAGAACAATTCTGGGATTGTTCTAGAACGATTTTGTCAGTTATTGCTCTGAAGGAAAACTATTTTTTGTTTTTTTTTTTTTGGTTCCGAATCGGCTCAGAACTGGTATTAGAACAATCCTCCATTATTTTTTGTGCGCAAGCTGTTCTGCGCAATCCCAGAACCATTCCAAAATTCAAACCAAAACAAACCTTTTTATGTGTATCGATCATTGAGGTATCGATAAAAATCAATACCTGCGGTACCGCCACTGAACGCCCCTAAAGCAGTAAGTCCGGCAAAAAAGGAATCAGTTGAATAATTCCTCCTAAATTCGGTACTCGGTCCTTATGAGTTGAAAATATGAAAAAATGCAAAGGGGGTAGCCTTCGATTTATTTTTTTCAATTTTCAAAGCGTCCTAGCTCGAAAACGAAAAGCTCGGGAGAAAAACTTCACATACGAAACTTATAGATCCCGTTGAGTACTACAAAAAAGCCTATGAGAAGTATCCCGCCACGAGACACCGTTTTCGAGAAAATCGACCTGGAAAATTTTAACAAAATTACAAAGAATTTCAACTTTGACAGCTGATATCTCAAAGACGAAAACGGCCTGGAATCTCAATAAAAAAAACATTTTGTAGGTAATTTCATCCTCTTGCAAAAGAGATATGACTCGAAAAGATCGGTTAAGAAATAGCGGAGCTATAAGTGAAAAAGTAACGTCGTGTTAGATCGCTGAAATCGAAATATCATTTTTTAATTTTTTCCCGGTCTTAAAATGCGTCATAGCAAGCAGGGGCCCATAAGCTTTTCAACATTTTTTTTACTCCTCTATCCAATGTTTTTTTTTTTTGGAAATTCGGGAAAAAAAATTCAAAATCAAGAAAGAGGGGAGGCTAACTTTTTTCCGCTACATTGGAGAGAACTGAAACTCGGAATATCGACTAAAAATCACATTTTGAATATTCCCGATTTTTGATTGGCTCCAAATTATCTGCTGACCAATAGAATTATAGACTGGGGATTAAAATAATTAAAATAACTCTAGTCCTTCGGACTCGCGTATAACTCCGGCCCTTCGGGCTCGCGTATAACTCCGGCCCTTCGGGCTCGCGTATAACTCCGGCCCTTCGGGCTCGCGTATGACTCCGGTGCTTCGGACTCGCGGATGACTCGCGGATGACTCCGGCCCTTCGGGCTCGTATTACTCCGGCCCTTTAAGCTCGTCGTATAACTCCGGCCCTTCGGGCTCGTATTACCGAGTATCCCAGATTCACAGATTTTTATCGTAAAGGCGCGGGATTGATTGAAATAATGTTGTCAGATTTTTCTAAATTACATTGAAATATCGAAAGTTGGAAAGTGTAATTTGTGAATTATTATTTTAATTAGGAATCAGGAATAAAAAACTGAGATTGAATTTTCAATTTTTTGGCCTCCCCTGCCTCCGCTGACGAGCCGCCACTGCTGAAAACAGTCGACGACTGAAAAAGGTTTTGGCTGGATTTCCTTGAAAAAGTTTGTATTGTTCGTCGATTTTTAACTGATACTTGCGGTATGAGGAGCGAGGGGCTGTTTTATATGGCAAAAACAGGTGTGAAGTTAGGTAACCATTGGCGTTCTAATGTAGAGAGCCACCAGCTCACATTCCGTCCGAGTATCAGATTAAAATCGACGGACAATAGTGTATACGTGTTATGTGTACCTATATGAACAATCTAGACGTAGAAAGGATAACAAAAGCCAAAAAGGTAGCTTACCAGAGAACTGATTGAATTACGCAAATCCGAAAGAAGAAAGAATACATAGACAATTGGATAGGAAAGTTAAGAAAGCGATGTGAAGAAATCGACAGATATTTGGGAGGCTCAAGGGTGGCAACAGCATGGAAAGGTATAAAGAACATAAGGAAAGATAGAAAGAACATAGCGAATGTCCAGTCAATATCTATGGAAGAATGGACTGAACACTAGAAAAAGCTGGTGATAGAGGAAAGAGGACAATTCAAGAGACAAATTGGAGAAGATGAAGTAAGTAGTAGAACAAGGGCACTACTGGCTCACTTTCAAGGCAACTCGTTGCGGATGGCTTTTGTCCATTTTTTCGCCGAAGAAGGTGAGAGTCGTCAGCAATGACCAAAGGCTGCTGAAAAAAATGAATGGAGTTAGAGGAATTGCAAAAAAAGTAACGTCACTTTTTCAAGAATCTCTCCAATCCTATGATCACGTGACTTCTTTAGCACGCCATGGAGTCACTGATGTCACTTCTTTAACCACCTCTCCAATCCTATAGTCATCTTTTTCAGCAGCCTCAAATTGAATTTCTCAAGTTTCACCTTTCACTGATTTTATTTTGTGTGGCAAAAATTGCTGGACTTAGTGCCCATGGAGCATTATCAGGTGGAGCTGCTGGTATTGCTAATATAGTTCACTGTGCAGAGGACCTCTCGACTACATGTATAAAAAACTTAAGGACGAATATGAACAGTGGAAAATGAAAATAAACCAAGGCAAAACAGATGGAAATGATAATGAAGACCCGAATCTTAGCTGAAGACATCTGAAAAAGTGTGAAGGGTATAAATATTTGGGATGCCTTATATCAGCAGAGGAAACGAGATATGAATAACAGAGTAACACAATAAGGTAAAAAATGCTTTAGCATTTTGAATTTTTTACTCTAGTTAGATTTCTATAAAAACAAAAAAATTAAAAACAATCTACGGAGTAATTGTATAGCAGCTATCGGAACGAAATAAAAGGAAGGTAGGTGCAGTGAAAACAGTCTTTTTCAGACAAGCATTTAAAGTTTCAAGACTGGAGCATATGCAGAACGCTGAAATTCGAAGAAGAACAGGGAGAATAGACACTCAACAGCTCATAGTGGTATGGGCATGTTATGAGAATGGAGGAGAGATGGCCAAAGAGAGCATTGATGTACGTTCCATGGAACAGGAGGAAGACAGGAAGACCCATGAATGATATAGTGATAGACGAGGAAGAATTTAGAGTCTGTGAAACCGCTGCGACGATGATGATGTCACTCTGTGTGGGGTTCAAGGCATTGAAATTTGTTTTTGCAAAATTTACTCAATTGAACATAAGAAGAGCCAAGAATAGAAAAATAATGAAAATTCAAAAGCCACAGGCACGAATTAGGAAAGTCCAAGAGCCTGGAATATATTATTTTAATTCACTTCACCCTTGCTTAAAATATCATAATCAATAAATTATTTCCTCACATTCTATTGCAAACACGAAACTTCCATTTACCTCCGTAACGGATACATAACGCAAAACACTAATAAAGAGATGAGAAGAGGTGTAAAATTTAATATTTAACGTCCGAGAGAACGGGCGGACGTCGCGCCGCTTTAACAAGTTTAGGTAATTAGAGAGTTGGACACTACGTTAAGCCGATAGGCGTCAACTCAACAGGTCACATTTCGATGTTAAATATTCAGCTATGTTGTTGGGCATTTCTTAAAATACCTCTCATTTATTAAAACAGTCGCTTGCTAAATCTTTAATAGACTTAGCAT